CTCCTGCCTCTGGGTTCCTGCCCTGCTTGATTCCTGTCCTGACTTCCTTCAGTGATGAATGTCAACATGGACGTATAAGTGAACTGAACCCTCTCCTCCCTAGTTGCTTTGGTCACAGTGTTTCGTCACAGCAATAGTGATCCTAAGACAGTCCTGCCCTTCTTTGCAGTGCTGAGGATGGAACCCAGGGCCCTGCACAAGCCAAGCAAGTGTTCTACCGTTGAGTTCCATCCTCTTGAGGTACTTGAATGTAGGATCAGGAGCTATTGGAAGGATCTGTGTTTCCCAGGACGGAGCTGCAGGGTCAGGGGTAACCTTGCCAGACCTCAGCTTCTGTAGGTAATGACGTTCCTAGCTCAACGTACCTAAATGAGAGGATGGGGTGAGGCTTGGGGTGAGAAGGGCCTCTGCCGAGGACCCAAATCCAAGTGGTGGCATCCTTCGCTCAGCCGCCCCTCTGCCCCCTTTCTGCCCCCTCTGCCCCTCCCCCCCTCTCCCACGTCCTCCCTCCCCGTCACCCCCATCCTTGCCTTCCCTTCACCAACAAGTTAACCAGCAACTACTCAGAATCAGGCTTCAGATTGGCCTGGCTCCTAGTCCTGACCCTGTCAATCACTGGCTGGCCCCTCTCCTCTGTGGTCTCAGTTTTCCTCTTTTACTCACCTCCCAGTTGGGAAGTTTAACATTCAACAGCACAGGTGGGAATGAGCATGATTCCAAAGCCTCCTGCTCCTCTGCTGGGGCGATCAGGAGTCCTGCTGGCAAGACCCCCTTCCTCAGAGGTCAAAGTCCAGTCCAGCTAGGGACAGATAGGTAGTTCCCAATCCCTTTTGGAGCAGTCTGGCATCCAGTATCCAGACTGACCTGGTCAAGGGTGCTCTGGCCCACAAGGCAAGTTCAGAGATGATGTTTGGGAAGTCAGCAGGGGAGGGGTAAAGAGTGACACCACCCCCCCCCCCCCCCCAGCAGGCGGCTTGTCTCCACTGTGGCTGAGTGTCAGGGTGCTAAAAACACTCGGAGCATGTGCTCAAGGCAAGAGTGGGTCCTCAGGTGTGTGGATGGAAGCTTGTACAGTTGTGGACAGCCGTGGCTAGTTCTTGGGTGGGAAGGGAAACCTGTACACGGGAACCAGAGGCTTCTGTTTACAGCCCTCCATGCCCCTCCTTTTGGAGGACCAGGCACCACAGAGATTACCCAGTGCAGCAGGGGGTAGGGGGTGGGGAGGTGTGGCGGCTATGGACTGACTGGAGGAGGGCTGGAAGGCCTTTCCAGGGAGCCCCTGCTCCCTTCAGAGGCACCTGCCGGGGGCCAGGGAGGCAGCTGGCATCTCACAACCCTGCAATTAGTAGATAAAGTCAGCAGTCTTCTGCTGATGGTGGCAGTGGGGGCAGCAGGCTGAGCTGCAGCTGGCTCCTGAGTGCTACCTCGGCCTCGAGTCCCCACCCGATGCCTCGGAAGGGTTGGCCCTCGGAAGGGTTGGCCCTCGGAAGGGTTGGCCCTCGGAAGGGTTGGCGGAAGTGGCTGTCAGCCTCCTGGGTGGGCAAGGCACTAGGGTCTTGGGTGGCTGTGCAGAGCAGTGGAGGAAGGCGGAAAGAACATGAGCGGTGGTCTCATAGGAGGTGGGCTTGGCCAGCCCATGGATGTGCTCGCCTTTGTACAGAGAACTAAAGCTCATCACGGGCCAGACGCCATGTAAATCGGAGGGCTCCAGTGAGAACAGCTTTCCTGGAGAGACAAGGCCTGACAAAGTTTCCTTGGGTTAAGGATCTTGGCTAGAGAGCAAGGGCCAACTCTGGGGTCCCCAGCCCTCAGTCACAATGGAGAGGGAGGGGCCAGGCCTGGGATGCAAGCCCAGCCTGTCTGGTAACTCCAAGGCCTGGGGTGAGAGGCACTGAGGGTCTGGGTGACTGCGGCACTGGGTCCCTGGGCTGTCTGCTCTCTCCAGAGGACTTGGACTCCCCCACAGACAAGAAGCTGGGGTGGGCCAGGATCTGGCTTCAGCCGTCTATCACCTGGCCCTCCATTCTTCCTTCACTCCTCTATGGTACCCTCCTCTCGTCCCTGGCTTTCAAGATAGGGTCTCACTTTGTAGCTCTGGTTATCCGGGAACTCACCATGTAGACCAGGCTGGCCTTGAACTCACAGAGGTCTGCCAGCCTCTGCTTCTGAGTGCTGGGATTAAAGGCGAGCACCACTACACCCAGTGTATCTTTTCTCTATCCCTCAGTCATTTCTCCTATTATCCCAGGACACTGTGCTGCTGGCTGGTGGGGCTGGGGTAGCAGACAAACAACCATTTACACTGAGAGAGAGAGAGAGAGAGAGAGAGAGAGAGAGAGAGAGAGAGAGAGAGAGAGAGAGAGGCATAGGCTGAGGCTGTGGAGGGCTGTTGGAGGAGGGTAATTCTGGGTGGTGGCTGGCCTTCAGCCAGGCTTGGAAAGGCCAGATATGCAGAAAAGTGGGCGAAACCATAGGCTCCCTGTCCTGGATGGGTAGCATGGGCAGGTTCAGCATTCAGACTGCCTGGGTCGGGATGGGACCATGACTGCTCAGCTGTGGGGTTGTGGGTTAGTTACTTGCTCCCTCTGAGCCCCTGGATCTCTGCATAAATGGGACAGTGATGGTGGTACCTGTCTCACTGGCTGGTGGGAAAGACTGGGGAGAGCTGCCCGTGACACTCGGCAGTCCCCCTTCCAGTGACCCAAGCATGGCTGTACCTCACGCTGGCTGGCTGCCTTCTGTCTCCCCCACTGCATTAAAAATGGATCCTGATCTCAAATGCCTCCCAAAGTAGGCACAAGATAAGGCTGCAGGGGCTGGTGGGAACTGGGTGCAGACTGCTTCTCATCTCCTGAGAGCAGCCGTGGCCACGTGGGAGCAGGGGCTGTGTGGTCAGAGGTGCTGACGCCTCAGGAGAGGGAAACCCACATTTGGACGGGCAAACTTCCCATGACTAATATTAGCAGTGCATTAAAGATTTTCCTTAAGGCACCATGTGAGCCAAAGCTAATGCTTCTGTGGGCCATGACCCCTGGGTGACTTTCGCTGAAAGTAGCAGTGACCCACGGAAGGGCTGTGAGCAGGGCCCAGCCCCCACACTCCCCCCTCCACATCCCCTCCCAGACACTCCAAGCCTTGTTCCTGAGGTTTCCCTGTCCCAGGCCTGATCCTCTGTCCACTGCCACTCTCCAAGCAGTCTGGTGGGGAGACAGGCACTGGGAGGAGGCCCCTGCTCCACACTATCTCTCTGGAGGTGCCAGGGAGTCTGGGGGAGCCAGGGCTCTGCTCTGTGTCTGGGAATAGCAGCTGCCATGAGGGCCTGGCTTCTGGCTCCTGGGGGTCAAAGGGCAGCACTCTCAGTCTTTCCTTGGGCCCATTTCCTGTTTGAGAGAGGAAGAAGAAAGATCCCTGGCGGGAGAGGGTCCTTTCCTGCTGGGCTGGCTCCGGGGGACAGACATCCGGGAGTACGTGCAGAGGGGTGGGGGTGGGGGTGCCTCTTTCTCCCTTCTTTCACCTGGGAGCCCAGGAGGGGACCTGGAGTCTCTGATACCCCACCACCAAGCAGTGAGGCCTGGGGGGGGGGGTAAAGACTCAGATTCTGAGCTCTGGCTCCCAGCTGGGGTTCCCATCATCTCTGGGTCCCAGCTGGGGCTCCCACCATCTCTGGCTCCCAGCTGGGGTTCCCACCATCTCTGGCTCCCAGCTGGGGTTCCCATCATCTCTGGATCCCAGCTGGGGTTCCCATCATCTCTGGATCCCAGCTGGGGTTCCCACCATCTCTGGATCCCAGCCTTGTAGCCTCCAGGGACCTTCCTGACCAGATCACACAGAGATTACTGCAGCTCTCCACTCTGAACAGGGAGCCTTTTTATGGCTCAATTTAACTTCTCTCTGTGCTAGGCTGAGCCCTGGCCCTCCTGCACACCCCTGAATACAGGAAGCTCACCACCTGCCTGTGAGGGCGACCCTAACATCTACAGAGCCTGTCAGGAAGGCAGGATCCCTGGATTCCCTCTGACTTTAGGAAGTTTAAGTGTCTGTTGCTGTGACTCCAATACCCATTCCCTTCAAATTCTATATAAATCTGCTAATTAAGTTTGGAAATTAGATATCAAAAATAAAATTACCATCTGGGTGTGGTGGCACATGCTTATAACCTTAGTACTTGGAGACTGAGGAAGGGGATTGAGTTCAAGGACAGCCTGGGATGCATAGTTTCCTGCTAGCCAGACCCTACCTCAAATAACCAAAAAGGAGGGTTTCCGATTTCCTGTGAGTAAATCTCTGTCCATTACCTAATCCGGCAGCAACCAGCTCTTTACTCTGCTGGCAAGTCCTGCTGCCCATGGTACACCTCTGAGAACTTTAACATGGCTTTTAGTTACAAAATTTATTACTATTGTTATTAGTGTGTGTGCATCTGTAGATGTCCGAGGACTTTTTTTTTTTCTTTTGGTTTTTCAAGATAGTGTTTCTCTACATATCTGTCTGTCCTAGAATGAGCTCTGTAGACCAGGCTGGCCTTGAACTCACAGAGATCGCCTTCTTCGCCTCCCAGGTACTAGGCACTACCACCCGGCTGGGGTCGGAGGACTTTATGGAGTTCATTCTCTCTTCCCATCTTTATGCGGGTTCTAGGGATGGAGCCCAGGTTGTCAGGAGTATGTGACAGTGCTTTACCCAGTGAACTGTGGAACACTGACTTACAGATGGAAAACCTGAGGCTCACAGAGGGTGAGGGATGCCCCTGAGGTGGCAGTCAGTAAAGGGAAGGGCACAGATTTGAGCCCATGAGGGTCTGGAACTGAGGCCTCTTCCTGTCCAGATCAGACGGGCACCACACTTCCTTCTTTCCCGACAGGCTGGACACCAGATCCCTCAGCCACTTAGGTGCTCATTCATGCACTCAATCCTGGACGCTAGTTCAATGTTCGGTGCAGGCGATGCTGACCCACCATGTCTCCTTCCCAAGTCTCCTGCAATTTCAGGACTCCGCCCTGAGAGCTTGAACTCCATTTATTACAAAAGTCTGAGATCATGGTATCTTATTATGAATAGCCCCTGCCAGACCACCATGCCTCCCTCAACATGGTCCATAAAGTCCTACGCAGGTGGGGTCTTAAGTCCTGGGTGATGGCTGTCCTGTGTTTATAAAATCCAATGGTCCAGGCAATCCTGGGCATATATACAATATACATATCCAACAGGCTCCCCATCAGTGCGGTGTGAGTAGGTGAGATCACTGCCTTCCTGGGAGGGGAGGAAGTGGTGCAGCAGGGGACGGGACCCAAGGAGTGAAGAAAGCATGGACGGCTGCACAATTCGAATGGTTTGAGTCGACTGCTCTAGGCCACCTGGATCTGCAGGTCCTCGTCCTCATCTAGGTCGCTGGCTCCATCTCCAGCTTCCTCGGTGCCAAATCGGGTACTACGGATCTTCCCAAAAAGGGGGGCGTTCTGCTGCTGCCTGCGGAGCCTGAGGGGTGGGGGTAACAGGTCAGAGCAGGGATCATAGTGCATCTGTGTTGGTAGTGGCTACAATTCCAACTGCAATGCACTCTGGGGCACCTGTGCTCACATGGGGGAATGCTATTGCCCACCCCAATTTATATACAAGGACACTGAAGCCCGAGGGACTTAAATGACTTGCCTAAAGTCACTCAGACAGGGGCTAGTGGGGTTGTCCTCTGGGCTGCAGTGCTAGCTCTGGTGTAGGTGGTGGACTTGGAGAAGTGACGGAGACAGGGTTGGTCCCTCACAGGGACCCACGAGACCAAGGATTAGGGTGTGGAGCACACGACATGCCTAATGTCTGTTCAGCCCTAGTTCCACACATTACGATTTCCAACAGGGCAAAATGTACTGGACAAACTTCGCCCATAGGACAGGAGGAGGCGGAGAAAACGCACTGCCCCCAACAAGGCAGTTGCTCGTGTATCTTACTGGAAGGCATGAATTATTAACGAGGCAGGGAGGGGCGAGAGTGCGGCTCCATCACTGCACAGTGATTTAGTGCGCTGTCCCGGAACATTAAAGCAAGAAAAGTTACAAACTAAAATGAGGCAGCAATCCTGGGTGGCCCTGCCCGCCCCCGACAGAGGTGCTGGGGAGGCTGAGCAGAGCCAGTCTGCCCATTTTGGGAGTTTATGGCTCCCCAGGAATGTGGCTGAGACTTCTGGAAAGCCCCAGGCTGAGTGAGTGGCCTACTGAGGGAGGAGGAGGGGGAGTGTACAGGGTTGGACCGTGTGGAACTGGGCATTCAATAAGCCTGACTCACATCAGTGCCTGGGCCCTGTATAAATTTCAGGTGTCACTCCAGGCTAGAGGGAAACTGAGACCCTGTTGATTATACCACATAACCGTGAGGCCTGGCTCCAAAGCTTCTCCCAACCACAAGCTCTCAGCACACAGTAGCACTAAGTAGATGCTCAATAAGCCCATTGCTGATAACCAAGAGATCGATCCCACCAGGCCACCCACTATTGGGCATCATCGAAGGGCTTTCCTTTGGTCTCCCAGTCCTGGGGGGAAAGAGCGCCCCCTTCTTTGCCTCACAGCAGGCTCTGGACATAGTATCTCTCTGGCCCACACCTAAGTTCCCTTCTGGGAGAGGCAATGTGAGTGGCCAATCAATGCAACAGTGACTCAACATTTGGTGGTCCAGACGCTTCCCCCAGAATTCTCATGCAGCCCAGGCTAGCCTCCAATTCCCTATGTAGCTGAGGATGACCTTGAACTTCTGATCTGCTCTCCACCTCTAGAGTGCGGGCATCACACCCGTGTAAACCCACGTTCAGTGTATGTGGTGCTGGGGATCAAATCCAGGTGTAGAGTATCTGCAGCAAGCTACTGAGCTGCATCCCCCGCCAGGTGCAAATGACGTCACAGCATCTGTTGGCTCTTTTAAAAGATTCAATGAGCTCTCTTCCACAGTGACAGATCTCCCTATTCTTTTACAGAGGGGGAGCTGACCATGTAGGGTTCAGTGTCCTGAGGGCACCCAGCCTTTCCCCTACCCAAGAATTCTGGCTGCAGGACCCGGGTCCCTCCACCCACAGGTAAGAAGGCAGGTATGGGTGTGGCCACACTGGCCACATGCTTCTGGGGCTTCCCAGCTACGAATCTGGAGGGCTCTGCCTGAAGATCTTTGGCATGTCTAGGTGGTCACGGAAGTAAGAAATGTATGGAGGAGGCAGGATTTAGAGTGTGGGGACAGTGGGGTGGGGACAGGAGGGGTGGCGGCGTGCCAAGTGGGTGGATCCAGGCACCTCTCCACTTCCTTCGGGGGTTGAGGCTTCCTGCTACAGCTGAGAGACTTGGCCTGCCACTCTCTGCCCTTCCCTGCCCCGCAGCCTTTCATATTCCTACTGACCCTGGGGTCACCCATCCCCAAGACCCCGGGGGATGGTGCTGTTTCTCGCCAGGGATTCCCAGCATCACGGGCCCTGCCCAGAGCCCGGCCTCCTTGGCAGCCCTCCATGTACTCACACCAGCAGCCCGTCCACCCGAAGGAGACAATTCTAGAGCCCCCAGCTGGGATGTCTTCCTGCAGCCACACCCCACCGGCTTCCTGGCCCTGGCCCTTCCTGTGCAGAGGGGACAGGATTCTGGCCCCAGGAGCTCTTCCTTCTTGGTCTTTCCCTCCGGCTCTCTTGAGAGTTCTGGCCCTTGCCCTGTACATTTAGGGCCCTCCCCCAGCAGAGCACCCCTGCCTACCTGGACTGCAGGTGCTCCAGCTGCACCTGGAGGTTCTCGCTCAGCTCTGTCTGCTCATCCAGGGACCGCTGTAGCTTCCGGGCCTGGTTGTGGGCCTCATCCAGCTGGGGCGAGCAAGACAGAGAACAGGAGGGTCACCTTGGGCAGAGGCTGCCTGCCTCAGCCACGTCCCCCGTTCTGCTCTGGAACTGTGCCCGGTTTCCAGCTCTGGTTCCGAAGGCTCCCCAGGACCACTTCCATTCTGTTCTCTATCACTGTAGGCCACCAGCCTCCAAATCTACCCAGCATACATCAAATCTAGCCAGCATACCCACCTACGCAATTACCTGGCCACATAGCCATACCCACCTGCTTCTCATGAGATGCCGTTCGTTCCCTGTCCCTTCACCCACCTAGTCATCAATCTGTTTGGGCACCCATCATCTATCAGACACCTGTAGCTCGTTAATCCACTTCACTGTCCATCCATCTGTCCATCTAGTCCTCTGTGCACCTGGAAGCCTCTGGCCTTCTACCTAACCATCTACCCCTCCATTCACCTCACTTGCTCACTCACCTCATCCACCTTCCTTCCCCTCCATCTGCCCTCGCCTGCCCACTGCCTCAGTTGCCAGGCCCCAGCACACAGTAGCACAGGTGGGCATGCGGCCCACCCCTCTCAGGCCTGCTGGTACTTGCCTCATCCTCAGCCTGGGCGAGCTCTTTCTTGAGTTCTTCCACCCGCAGCCGCAGCTTCTTTACCTCCGTCTCGTGCTGCTCCACACGCCGATTGGCATGTGCCAGCTCTGCCACCTTCTCCTGAAACTGCTTCTTGAGCTTGCCATGCAAGTGTTTCAGATCTGCCAGCTCCTAGAGGGGCGGGAAGGCTCCGGTCACAGGCTCACTCAGGGAGGGCCATGGGCTGTCAGCTAGGAGGGCCTGGCATCTCCTCTACAGGCATGTCACACCTGCTGTTGAATGTTAAGGCAGTGCCACCTAGTGAGGTGAGAAGGCTGGGTGGGTGACCCAGTGGCTCCACTTGATGTATAACTGTAAGGAGCCAGGAGGGTGTCCAGTGGGCTGTAGAGCTTCTGGGCAAGCAATGAGGTTTACAGTCTTGGTGACAAGCATGTGGTGTTAAACTTCTAAGTCTGGGGATGAGCTGGACTGTGGAGTAGGTGTGCATGCGGCACAGGAAGAGACCTGAGGTCAAAGTGGGACAGCCAGGAAAAGAGATGACTGCCCTACTCTGGGGTGTCTGGGGGTGCAGTGGTGTTAGCCCTGTCTTTACTGTCTCCTTCATCTGCTCCAGGGTCCGGCTGTCTACCTCCCTTGCAGCCTTGGGAACGGCAGGGGCTCCCCACCCTCTGGCCTACCACCACCTTCCACCTGGCAGCTGCCCATCCCACCTCCGCTCACTGCTCTCACAACACAGCCCACGGTTACTGCTTCCTCCACCTGGGCCCCCCATCACACCCATCCAGAGTCCTCGTTTCTTCTCTGACTCCCCAGACCTCACTCTACCCTCTGCAAGGTCAGTTTACCACCAGTTAACTTCTGCTTTTCCTGGAGACCTCGGCTCAAAGTCATCGCCCCGCCCCCGCCCCCCGCCCAGGAAGCCTTTTCAGGACCAGGCTCAGCTGACCGTATGTGATGGAGAGAGCAATCTGTCCCTCTGAGCCATCGGATTCACGGACTAAATGGACACACCTGTCTGCTCATTGCCGTCACTATCACACAGTAGGTGATTAATTACCAACTGCTTTATCTTACAGTAGTTGTCTAATAAATGCAATTATACATTGAGTATCTTTCATCTGAAGTGCCTAGGCTCAAAAGTATTTGTTTTCTTTTTTCTTTTTTTTTTTTTTTAATGGAGTCTCATGTAACCCAGGCTGACAGTGAATTCTCTTTGTAGGCAAGGATGACTTTGAACCTCTGATCCTGTTGCCTCTACCTCCTGGGCGCTGGGACTACAGGTGTGCTGGGGATGGGACCCAGGGCTTTCTGCATGCTTGGCAAGTACTCTACCAAACTTTATCTTCAGCCTAGATTCCAGAATTTTTGGACTTTCGGGGTATTCACATATACATCAAGAGATCTCTTGGGGACAGGATCTGGGTCTAAACATAGAATCCATTAGTTTCACGTATGTCATTAGGGCCTGACTGCAATTTTCTTTAGCATTTTTATCGCCCTCGAATTTTGACTGGGACCTACCACACCTAAGTGTGAAATTTTCTGCTCAAAGTTGGGGGTTTGGGAGCCTTTTGGATGTCTGGTTTGGGGATCAAGGAGGCTCAGCCTGTATTGCCGTTATCCACATGCAGGACATATAATAAGTGTGTTGATTAGCTGGATGGGGGCCCTGGGCATCACTCCCTGCCCACCTTGTTCTTCTCAAAGAGAGCGGCCTGGCTGGCCCTCAGGTCGCAGTCCAGGGCACTGGCGTTCTGGCGCCGTCTGCGGGCCAGGGCCTCCTCCAGGTCCCCAACCTGTGCCCGGAGTTTCTTGTTCTCCCTCTCCAGACCCAGCTTTTCCGTCTCCAGCCTCTCTCTGCGGCCCCACTCGGCTGCATTCTCTGCCTGAAGCCTTTCCATCTGCAACAGCGGGAGACGGACGCAGTGAGCCTCCTGGGGGCCAGGGGTGGAGAGACAAGCTAGAAGAACCCCCCCCATTCCTGAAGCCAAAAATGGCACCAGGAAGCAGATCCAGCTGCAGCAGCTATAATTATGCTGGGCTTTTATTTTTCATGGTGTTCAGGATGTGGGGGCGCTTCTGGGTTTTGTGTGGGAAAGGGGGTGCCTCCTGAAGGCTAGGTCCCTGGAGTGTGGCTGGCCCCACACAGCACAGCACGGCACAGCACAGCACAGCACAGGCTGCTGCTGTCTTTTTCCCACTGATTGCTCAATAGATCCCCTGAACTCCTGAGCCCCAGGAGCCCCTCCCCGCTAGCGTCACTCACCTCACCCCTCAGCTCAGCCATCTTGCGATCCATGCTAGAGCGCGCGCCCAGCTCATCCTCCAGGTCTTCAGACATGCGGCCCAATTCATCCTGGTGGGTTTCCTTTAGGATGCTGAGCTGCAGAGACATCACCCAGCCTGGTCACGAGGGCCACCGGGATATATCCCAGAAGTAGTGCCGGAGGGGAGCACCAGCCAGGGTGATGGGGCCCCAGGGACCCGGAGTAGGCTGAATCTGGCCACTCTGGGCTTCAGATGTCTGTCACCTCCGACCTCACCACAATCTGGCCTGTTGGTGCCTGCACTTGGCTGGGTCAGCCCACTGTCCACCATGGGAATCAAGAGTGAACTTTAACAAAGTCAGTTCAACCCTCCACACCGCCCGCAACACACACACCAACACCCCTCTGAGGGTTTCTTGGTGCCGTTAGGTAGAACCCAACTCCTGTGTTCTCACAAAGTCGTGCAATATCATGCTCCTGTGTGCTCCTCCCATCCACCTGGCCTCTTCCCACTGCCCACAAGACTGCAAGCCTAGGAGGCAGAGAACTTGCCTGCCTTCCCCACGGCTCTCAACATACACTGATGTGGCCTAAACACCAGTGTCCATGTGTAGACATAAGAACTGCTGTGGGCACTTCTCCAAGCTGCTGCTCCACACGAGCACACAGCGAGCTCGAAGACAATACCGTGGAAGGAAGCCAGGCGCAAGAGGATTTTCTAATCAACTGTACACTGGTGCTCCATTAGTGTCTTTCCAGCAACTACACTTGGAAGTCTGAATAGTGTGGGGCCAGGTTCCTGGACCCCAAAAGAAGAAGGAAGATTCAAGCAGGCAGGGAGAGGGCTGGGACTCTTTTAGGAGCTTGAATAGATTCCCGGGGAAGACCAGGTTTGGGCAATCTTCCTAAGCGAATTCTCTGGTCTTTGACCTCTGTGACCCCAGAGGATCTGGTAAAGCTTTCCCAGGATGGCTGCGCCCCCTGGTGGCCATACGCAATCTGTACAGGAGGCAGAAGCTGCAGCCAACATCTCAACCTCAATTGCCTTGCTGCTGAGATGGGAACGTGAGGACACAGCTCTTTTGATTGACGAGGCTTCTGTTTGAACTGATATACATTAGATAAATGTCACATCTGGCACCTCCATTCTGGTCACAAACCCTCTGAAACTTATCCCATCAATCCTACCTCTGACAGGATTCTCCAGCCACACTAGCCTTCTCTGTGTCCAGCATACACCAGGCGTCTGTCTGTCTATTCCAGGACTGCTGCTGAGCTCCCAGATCCCCTATCTTCTCAAGAATGACTTCACCTAGTCCCTTTAGGTCTCACTTCAAACAGCGTCTTGTAGGGAGTGGAGCAGAGATGTTGAGACAGGCTCTCACCCTGCACCTAAATTGACCTGGAACTCAATCCTCCTGTCTCAGCCTCCCAAGTGACCTGCCACACCCACCTCAGTTGTCATCTTATAGAGGCCCTCCTTGGCCTATCACTCTACCTCCTTCATGCTGTTTTGTTTTTGTTTGTATTTTGAGACAGGGTTTCTCTGTGTAGCCCTGGCTGTCACGCTGACCTTGGCCTCCGCCTGCCTCTGCCCCCTTGAGTGCTGGGATTAAAGGCATGAGCCGCCACCACCTGGCTCTTCATGTTGTTATGATGCCGTCTCAACACACAGACCTTACCTGTTAGGCTACCATCATCTCCCTGCCTGCCTGGTACTCAGAACTATGGCCAAGTGAAGGAATTCCACCCTAACCTGTCCCCCAGGCTGGAACTCCCCAGCATGCGGCTGCCACCGCCAGGACCACCCGTCCCCCCCGCCCCCCACCTCCCCCCAAGCCTCCGGCCTTACTTGCTTGAGCATCTCCTGCTTGGTCTTGCTCAGCTCCTCGTATTTAATCTTCCACTGGCTGAGCTCCCCCTCCAGCTTCTCGATGCTCCTGCTCAGAGCCAGTTTGTCCCTGGGGAGGGGAACGGGAGAGCACACGGGCTTTATTAGACTCTTTTTGTTTTGACTTCATGTTTCAGGGGGTGGACTAGCTTGATTTTGTTGTCGCTGTTTAAAAAGTAGACTGTATTCTCCCACTGTATTCTGTGGCTAGAAGTCCAAGATGAGGTGTGGGCAGGGAAGGTGGTCAGGAAGAAGTCATTTCATCTTCTCCCCAGGTCCTGCTGGTTACTGGTCCCTTTGGCTTTCCGTAGCCAAAGAGGCAATGGCGCCCATAGAGGGATCGCTCCAATTCATCACAGGGGGTGTTTTCTTCCTCCCTCCCTTCTGTCCTTCCCTCTCCCTACCCATGGGAACCCAGGGTTTATACATGCCAGGTAAGCAATCTACCACTGAGACAACCCCCTCTTCCCAAGCCTTTATGTTGATTTTTTTTTAAGTAAAATCGTATGTGTGAACCAAGTATATAATCTATATGCTTATTTCGTGGTCACCAGAGCTAGAGAATATTCATGAACATCAGGTCATAACCTCTAAATGCCATCATCAAAGTCCCTGATGACCTCCATATTCTAAATCCATTGGTCAGCTAAGTGCTCAGTCCAGCCACCCACTCTCCGGTTAAACAGTGTCCCCTGGTTCCTTCTCCCCGAAAATGGCTCCCTTTTCTTACCCCCACCCCCTCTCTTCTAGCCAGCCTCTGAACCTGACAGAGCCAGGACTCCATGCCATAACCTTCTCCTTGCCCACCCACTTCGGATTCCCAGATTCCTGGCTTCCAAGGTCACCTGTTCATTGATGATCCCTGCCTTTTTACCTCCAGCCCAGACTGGCCTGGGCCTCCAGACCCATCCACTCACAAATTGTCATCTTCCTGGGCCAAGCACAGCTTGCCAACTTCCTTTCCTGTCCTGCTTTCCCTGAGCCGGCTACCCTCTCTGCCACCAGAAGTAAGCTTGAGGCCACCACATGCTACACAGTGAGGTCAAGGTCAGCCTGGGTTCATGTCCTGAGGTTCTACTTTGAAAACAAAGGATGAGGGATGGAGATGGCTCAGAGGTAGAAGTACTTGCTGCTCTTATGGAGGACCCAGGTTTGGTTCCCAGCATCCAAAATGGTAGTTTAAAACCATCTATAATTCCAGTTCCAGGGGATCCAATACCCTATTCTGGCCCCCGTGGGCACCAGATACTCACATGGTGCACATATATACACACAAATCACTCAAATACATAATTTTTTTTTTTTTTTTGAGTCAGGGCTTTTCAGTGTAACTGCCCTGGCTGTCCTGGAACTCATTCTGTAGACCAGGCTGGCCTCGAACTCACAGAGATCTGCTTGCTTCTGCCTCCCTAATGTTGGGATTAAAAGTGTGCGCCGCCGCCGCCGCTGCCGCCGCCGCCGCCACCACCACCACCACCACCACTCAGCCAAGAAGGCACACATAAAGTAAATTTTAAAAAAATCTTTAAAAAAAACAACAACAATAAAAGATACTGTAGTGGGTTTGCTGATTTAGAATCTTAGATTTTAGTGCTAGAGATTTAGCTCAATGGTAGAGCGCTTGCCTAGCATAAAGCCCTGGGTTCAGTCTTCATCTGGCAGGGGCTGGGGCCGGGGAGAGGGATGACAAAAAAAAGACCAAAACAAAACAACAACAACAACAAAACCCCAAAGATAAGTAAAATCTGAGCTTGGGCCTCAACAGATTTCGTGGGAATCGCCTGGAATTCCAGGGTGCCCAGCTCCAGGCCCCACCTCCCCCACAGGACTCACTCTCTTTCCTTGAGCAGCACCTTCTGAGATTCGTCCAGCCGTAGCCGCAGGGCAGTCAGCTTGGAGGCATCCTCCTCTGTACTGGCTGTGTCCTCCCAGGGCAGGCGGTTGCGATCCTGGCGGCCTGAGCTGGACCGAGAGCCGCCAGCTGCCACACTGCAGGCGTCCCAGCAGCCCTCAGGCTCCTCTGGTCTGCTCTTCAGCAGGCTCTCTACCAGGTCCAGCTCCTGTGGGGACCAAGGTTGGGACTGCACCAGGCCCAGGGCCTCACCCTGGCCATCTCAGGCCCTGCTCTGGAGTTGGCTAAGTGACCAGGGGCAGGTGACCAGGGGCCTCTGGGCCCTGCTTTCCTCTGCAGCTTACTTCATTCTCCTTCTCTGAGCCTCTCCCTCACATCCTGGAAGTACATAGCCAGCCACCATTTTCCTATATCCTGGGAGGGCCCCCTGTCACCCCACGTACGCAAACATTGGGTGAACTAGTCGGAACAGATGCCGAAGTGGGGGATTCCTACTATGGCTTATGATTCTAATTCAGGTGCAAACAGGGTCACAGGGAGATCGGTGGCGCTGAGGACTTGTGGAGCGCTGACCTCCCATCCTCCTGACCTCAGGTGGTCCAGGTGGGGCACTCTGGTTGCCACCGGAGACAGATGGAAATACCAGAAAGTCGGATCACAGAATAGAGTGCCTGGGCTGGTGTGCAGACTCAGACTGCAGACCCGAGACTCCCTAAACTGTCCCTGGAGACTCCGGGGCTGTGACAACAACCAAACAAGCCAGCAAGAAGAGCATGAAGCCCTGGAACCCAAATGCCCTGCCACAGGGAGAGGGCTAGGCCAGAGAGGAGGGTGTCAGCTAAGTCTCAATGCTAGGATCTGGTCTCCTGGGGACCAAAGCCCAGACCTTGCCGGCCTGCCCTTCACCATCATCCTGCTCCAGCTATACTAAGTGTTACCACTCACCCCCTGGAGCAAACCCAGCAGCTGGAGTAGCAACACAGACTTTGGTTCTGAATCTCCCTGGCTCCGGGGCTGCTGCAGGGACTAAGTAGATAATGTAACTAACTATAGGCACGGAATGATTACCACCACTCCCCATGCTCGGCAGGCCTCCAGCCTACCAACTTTTGCAATGACCACCACCAACTATGGATTCTGGCACTTCCCATAGGCGATGTGAATGCCTCCTCTCAGTCTCAGCTAACTAACCTCTTCGGGGAAAGCCTTTCTGACGCCCCTCCCAAAGGCCCGGCTCGGGGAACCAGAGAGTCAGCTATCTCCCTTCAGGATGAAAGAATGCGAGTTAGCTACTAATCTAAGCCAAGTCCACGGATCTCTCCTGTGCTTGGCGTGGAAGACTCTTTGATTTTGAAGGTGTAGGGGGTAGACAGACCGCCAGAACATGGAGCTCTCCAATCCAAGGTGATCTCTACCTGCCCTCTCCACCGCCACCACGTGGGGCTGACAGACACCTCACTGGAGACCAGATCCTTACTAGCTTTTGTCACTGCTCCCTCCCACCTGTGCCCCTGTGCAAGGCTGGCCCGAATGCCAGCCTTCTTCCAAGCCGTGTAGCTGGGCGCACCTGGCTACCAGGCGGCCTCTCCGCCCCGACGTCACGCACAGGCTCATGCTCGCGCTCAGGATCCGGGCCGTCGTCCTGCGTCTTGTCCACCGGGCCATGCGCTCCCCGCAGCCGGGCCAGCTCGCGGCCGCGCGCCTCGCACTCGCCCTGAGCCTCCTGGCGCTCGCGGCGCGCGCCCGCCAACTCCTTGGTGAGGGTGTCCAGACGCTGGCGCAGCTGGCGCACCTCCTCGCGCGCACGGTTGCGCTCGGCGCGCACCTTGCTCCACTTCTCGCGCCAGTTGGCCGTGCAGTCGGACCACCAGCGCATCGTCTTCTCCATCTGCGCGGCTCGCGCGCGCGCCTCCTCCAGCTCCCGCAGCCGCAGCTCCTCGCGACTCTCCCAGTCGCCGTCGGCCAGCAGGGCAGGCGCGGGCAGGGGGAGCGCGGGTGGCGGCCCCGGTGACGGCGTGCCGCTGGGCGGCGTGGGTGGCAGCGAGTCGGCCGGGCCCATGCGATCCGGGGACGGGCTGCCCAGGATGGTAAGCAGGCTGCTCTTGGACAGCTGCGGGGACTCGGCCAGCCGCGGGCTCGGGCCGTGGCTCATAGTGAGGCTGGGCGGGCCCTGGGTGCGAACTCGCCTAGGCTCAAGGACGACGCCGGGGACCAGAGACCTACATGGTACCACTGTGTATGATGGACGCCGCGACCCACTGCTCTCTAGGATACCCGTCTGGGGCGCCTCTTCAGACCTGCGGGAGAACACAACCATTACTGGGCTGTGACCACCACCGACAGTCACCTGATCAACCCTCTGTGCATACTCAGGGGACGAACAGGGCGGTACTGGCAGAAGCAGGAGGAGGGAGGTGTGTTCCGGAGTGGCCCCAAGGAAGCCAACAGGGGCCTTCAGCTACTTTCTCCTTGGCTCCAACTCCCCTCATCCCTTTAAGGCGGCTGATCCGAAACCTTGATTGTTGTCTGAGCTTCATGTAAGCCACAGGGCCTTTCTGGGTTTCTGCTTCTCCCCCTGTGCAGGGTGCAGGGTGCAGGGTGCAGGGTGCAGGGTGCAGGGTGCAGGGTAAGGAAACCCAGGATACTTTCATCGGGGTGTGCTTTGGTTCACCTGGACCCTTGCTTAATTAACAATTAGCAGTTCTGTGGCCTGGGGTGTTTGGCAGGTATACAGCAAAGACTACATTTCAGAAGTCCATGTTTGGGGCGTGTGAGTAGTCAGGTAACCTCTGAGCTGTCTCAGAGTCTCTCAGCCTCCCCAGCTCCTCCACGGAAAGCCATTAACAAGCCCTCTACTACTGAGCTATGTCCCCAAGCCCGTGTCACCCTCATTACTTACAGTTCCATACATAGCTCAACCCCAAAGACACTGTGTGGACAGTCACCAGACAGCCACAAGGACCCAGGCTCTAGTTCCTGACAGGCAATGTGCCTTTTTTCTGACTCAGTGTCTCGGCCTGTGTGATGAGTCGGTAGCCTTGGCGCCCACAAGCATCTAGCATTTTCTGCACACACAGACACATCTGGGAACACACAACGAGCATTCCTGCCCACACAAAACAGGGATAAATGACACATACAGTCAGAGATGGACCCATGGGCACACAGCTATACAAACAGATACAGATACACTGTATACATGCACCGGCACATTAACGGGCCCCCAAACATACACACTCCAAAGAGAACTCTGCACACACACACACACACACACACACACACACACACACACACACACACACTTGTCTTCCCCATTTTCCTGGCCCAGTTCCATCAGAACAGCCCTAAGAGAAACAATAAGAGCATCTGCAGGGGAGAGGAGAAGAGAGGGGTTGGCAGGAAGCCCAAGAATCAGCCCTGAAGTCCGGTCTTCCCACTGCCTTTCAGTAGAAGTGTGGCAGTGGGGGCGGCTGCCACATCCACTGCCTTGGAGCTGCCAGGCCTGGCATAGGGCTCTGCTTGGCTTAGAGAAGACTCCAACTGGCCCCTTCCAGACATTCTAAGCTCATGGCACAGGAGCAAAGCAGACATCATCCAGGCCCCTAATGGCTTCCAGGTTGGGGCCTCCAAAGTCAGCCCTGGCCCCTCTACAGGGTGGGGGAAAGGTAGGAACAGTGGGGCAGGGAGGCTCTGAACACCTTCTGCCTTTCTCTTCAGGCCCAGAACAGGTATGCACATGCATGGGGGAAGAGGTGGAGCACGTCTACCCCACCCCCACAAGCACACCTGTGCAGACCCTCCCCCAACCCCCCACCCCATGCAGCTGGCCTCTGCCTAGCAACACTTCCCCATTCCCACCCTACTCACATAACAGCCTTGGAAACACTCAAGTAGCTGTGGTAACCCAGGTACACACAGGCCCTGCTCATGCCTCATGCTATAGTCAGGCAGGGCCCAGCTGCCCGTCACTTGCCCCTTTCCTCCCCAGATTTGGTGCCTTTTTCCTTTGGTGACATTATGGGGGACGGTGGGCTCCTGATTACCTAAGGCTGCCATTGCACTCCAAGGGGCAGCTCAGGCTGGGGACAGCCCCCACAGGCCCAGAGTGTTCCTGTCTTCATCCCTTCTAAAGCCAGCCAGCCCATGCTTCCAACTCAGGTGCCACTACTAGGAAATACCGATATGCCCTGTCCCATCCCACAGCCATACCTGACCAGTGACCTCTCTCACAGCGTTGCCTTCCACTCCGTAGGGATATCTGTGCCACTTACAGCTTATAAGACAGGTTCTGCATATAGTACTTGCCTAGAGTTGGCTAGCGGGATGGAGGATGTAGCACTCTACCATACAGCCTCGCATCTGAGCCAAGCAGCAGAACTGAGCAGGTCACAGAGCTCCTGAACCCCAGCCATAACTCGGTCCCTGCCTGGTCCAGGAAACAAGGACACTTTGACTGGACACTTACTGCAGGCAGGTTACAGATTCAGTGCTGCCCATAGAAAGTGAGCAGTGTCTTCTTCACAGACTGGTTGGGAACATCTCTCCCTCTTCTTGTCTCCATCTGCAAACTCCAACATATCCTTCAAGACCCACCTGCATCACCCCCTCGCCTGAGAAGACTTTCCTAACCGCTGGATATTTCATGCTCGCTTTCCTAAACACCAGAACCTCCTTATTTTGGGAATGAACATACAGTGACGCTCTCAAAGGCTTCTTGGTCTTGTTGGCTGTCTGAACAGGGCTGAGCAGCAGTGGATGCTGTGTGAATGTTTGCTGAGCCTATGGAGGGTGGGCAAAGCTCCTCTTAGGGGGTCTCCCTGTGATCAGACAGTCTGGGAGTGTTGTGTCGTCCTAAAAACCAGAAATCAGTTTTCAGCCAGGTGCTGATACAGGTAGGTGTCTAAGCCCATCTGTGGTCAAGGTCAGAGTCAGATGTCTGAGCTCTTGCCTGATGAAGTCTCTTTGATTAGGGGGAGTGGGGAGATAGTCAGCTTTGTAGTCTGTCCTCAGTGTTTGGTTGGTTCTCTCAGTACCCGTGGAGAGGAATGAGCAACACTAAGACCTGGATGCGGGCCAGCTGAGGGGATGGGGAACCCAGGACCTCCACAACTCAGACTCCTCCCATGTCCTCTTAGAATCTTTCAGGTGGACTCCAGGGTAAGCCGAGGGCCACAGGCCTAGCTGTGGGTAGGGATTAGAGCCCAGTAGGAAACCGCAGGGGGACTGCCTGATTGGATAAGTGCAGGGCCCAAGGCTGGTCAGCCCGCAGATTGTGGGCGTCTGTCCCTCTGACCACGGATACTGAGAGAGCCCAGTGTACAGTTGCTGGACCTCCAGGAGAGAAACAGAGGAGTGAGGGAGAGGGAGGAAGGCTAAGTCTCCATGCTGGAACAGTACCCAGGTATCCCCATATTGAACTGAGGAGTCACAAAACATCCTAAATCACAGATTCCAATTATTTTCCTTACAGCTTGGTCAACTGAGGCGTAGATAGACAGCTGCTTGCCTGCCATGGTACAGCATGCTAGCAGTAAACAGAGCTGGAAGAGTGGAATTGGATGCCTCTGAGACAGGGGCATGACTACCTGAAGAGCACCATGCCCCTGGGAGATCTTCAGACATTAGGCCCACCAAACAAATGTGGCTTGGGTAAGGGAAAGTGGACGTCTTCGTGGGCACCGACTCCAGCCCCAGGACTCGGAGCAGCTCTTGGGATCGCACATTCGTATAGAACAGACGTTAACCCTAGCTTTGCTATTTGATATGTCATGTGGTATGTGCAGGTCCCTGGTCTCTGAGACTGTTTCCCCACGTACAGAATCGAGAGGCACCAACAAGATTCTTAATACCTCCAGCAGGTAGGCGACTCCATGCCAATAAGAACCAATCCAACTCCCACAAAAGTTCAGGGAACCGGCCGAATAAGGGACATATCTCACCTACACAGACGGAAGCGGCGGGATGGGGAAGAGGCTTGCAGACTTCACCCCAGCACTACCAGGGCAGTGGGCTGCTGGGGCCCCTCCCTTCTCTTAGCACCGAGCCCTTGCTCCACCTGTCCCCATTACTTCCCGAAGTTAGTTTTCTGCTTTCCAGGGCCCAGGACAGCCTTAGTCCCTACTTGGTCGCCCCTTCGCGGGCTACCAGCCCCGCTCCCCCTAGCGGCTGGCGGGGGTGCGGGGGTCCGGTCCTGCAAGGCGCAGTCCCGCCCACCCCACCGCGTGGCTTCCATTGGCAGTGCCGAGGGTCTGGGCGTGGAGCCGTGCTCTGATTGGCCAGTGCCACCCGTCCGTCCGGCACTCGCCATGGTGACCACGTTGGGTCCCCCGGGAGAGTTCCACATTCCGCCCCCGCCCGCAGCCCCTCCCGGCCCAGCCGGCATTCCTCGGGTGCCCCCTCCCCCACTGTCCCGCCGGGGGACCCGGCCTCCGCCGGGGCGGGAGCGGGCTGGGGGACCCCAAGAGGGGTCGTGAAAGTTGGGCTCAGAGTTTGGGGTTCGTCGGGCCCCGCCCCGCCGCCTGTCCCCGCAGCAAAGCTCTTCCTTTGCGTGAGAGGCTCGGGGCCGCAGCAAATCCCCCGGCCGCCGTGACCTCCCGCCCCGCGATCCCCGCTCACCTCGGGCCGGGGCCGGGATTCCGGACGTCCGAGATGCCGCGCAGGGTGGAGAGGGCGCGGGGCTGGCTGCGGCGGCCGTCGGGAGGCCGGGGGAGGGCCGCCCAGTCTCCTCCTCCCGCCGGGGGAGGGGAAGGGGAGCGGGCGGGGGCCCCGCGTGGGGCGCGGCCTGTGGCGGGCTGGGGCCAGCCCGCGGGACCCCCGCTGGCTCACCCAAGCGTGGGGTCTCCCACGCAGGTTCCGCGACCTCAGCTTTCCCGCCAACCACGGACTGGAGTGGGCACCACGGGCCCACATGGAGCGTTACCAAGTCCTCACTTTGGTTAACTGCATTCTTCCCAGTGCCAGTTGTTGTCACTGATTGGATCTGGGCCAGAGTCCATGTCCTCAACGGGCCTCAATTTCCCTTATTTGTACAACCAAAGCGACCTCAGGCCTATAACGGAGCGTGATGGGGACCCACCCACACTGTGGAGTTTTTTCCCTCTGGTGTGCGATGGTGCTTGGCAGAGCCCTCCTACCACCTTGTGCACAGTCTGTCTCCTGGGGGTAGAGGGTCTGCAGTCTTGTCAAGGGAAGAGAAGATTAGGATGGTGTCTCCCCACCACATCCTGCCGCGAGGTCGATCTGTCTTACAGACAGGACCAAAAGTCACAGATATGTCTGGGCAGCTAGGCTGCGTTGATTATTGTCTAGAAGATAAAAAATTATGAAGATAAATAAGTCACACCTTTTGATTAAGAATGTTTCAATTCGGGACTGGAGAGATGGCTCAGTGGTTAAGAGCACTGGCTGATCTTCCAGAGGTCCTGAGTTCAATTCCCAGCAACCACATGGTGGCTCACAACCATCTGTAATGAGATCTGATGCCCTCTTCATGTATACATAATAAATAAATAAATCTTAAAAAAAAAGAATGTTTCAATTCTAATTATGGTCACGTGCTTAGTAGTTTGTGAAAAATGAATCAAGTACTGAGTGTTGAAGATGTTTTTTTTCTTACGATGTTAAGCAGTAGCATCCTTCCCGGCTGATATGCTGTAAGATTTTTTGTTTGTTAGTCTTAAACAAAAGTATCAGGGCTAGCCAGGTGTGGTGGTGCACACCTTGAATCCCAACAATTGGGACCTTTAATCCCAGCATTTGGGAGGCAGAGGCAGGCGGATCTCTGAGTTCGAGGCGAGCCTGTACTACCTACATAGTACAAGACAGCCAGGGCTATTGTAGAGAAACCCTAGCTTACGAAAACTAACAAACAAGGGCTCCCTCGGCAACAAGGACCACTTTGAATCTTTTTTTCCTCCTAAGAGCACCATGTGTGCACCGTGTGCCCTCAGAGGTCAGAAGAGGGGGGTCAGATCCTCTGACACTGGAGTTAGGATATGGGTGGTGTGAACCAAATTGGGTGGGGGGTGGGGGGTGGGATCTGAACCTCCATCAAGTGCTCTGAACCTCTGAGCCGTCTCTCCAGCCCCAACTCTGAGTCTTCTGCGAGCTCAGTACTTCTTTTCGAAGCCTGTCACTTCCCTCGTAGATGTCCTTCTCTGTGGTCAGTGCTCCCTTTCCTGCCTTGCCTCCACCGACTTAGTGAAATCCCACAGACTTTGCAAGTTCTGTAGTTTCACTTGTCATTTGCTGTGTGAGTAGTGCATGGTGGATGCTTGGCAACTTCTGTGATCTGCAGGAGACGTGTTTGGGTGGGGATACTTGTGCTTTGCTTAGCATCTACGGAATACCAGCCTGCAGATGCTCCAGTAGCGGCCCTCCGCTTCCTGTACAGGTACATCTTGTGGGATTCACACATGGAGAACTCAGGACCAAGACGTCTTCCTGTTAGAGCTGGGGAAATGAAAGTTCAGATTGGTTTTTGGCTCAGATGGGATCTCACAGCAGTCAGCTGTCCCAGTGAGGAGACAGGATGTCCCAGCAGTGACAGCCACGGACCGAGAGCTCTTTCCCGAGTGTTTGGAGGTGGTAAAGGGTGGGAAGGTGATGGGGGTCAGGCTGATGGTGTACCTAGCCTCTGGCTGTACTTCATCACAACTGAGCCCTCTCTCTTCGGAGAGAAAGTGGTGAATACTGCCCTGGTGTGTGTGTGTGTGTGTGTGTGTGTGTGTGTGTGTGTGTGTGTGTGTGTGTGTACATACATTTTGCATAGCGTGTGTGAGGGGAGCCACTCACTCACGAAACCTCGTACATGCTGGCCATAGGCTAGACAACCCCCATCAGTTACCTAGCTGCACAGTGGTCCTGTGAACTGGGTGTCATTACCAACATATCATGGTGAACCCAAATTCACTCTGGGAAGTCGCAGTGCCCATATCTCTCAGTTTTATTGCTGTTACTTCTCCAGGCACCTCTGGGGAAATACTAACCTGGTTCTAGCTTCCCTCACCACTGGACAGGGCATGGGGTTCTGTCTTCAGACTCAAGACACTGGAGACTGATTGTAGCCTATGCTAGTATGTCCCTTCTATACCCTGCTGTTATCTTTGCCATCAAAACATTGACATTTTTGAGTCATTTTACTTTTTAGAATGTAAGTATATTTTAAGGGAAATGCTTCATATTATTAGAGTAAATGGGAGATCCGTGTATAAGTTGCTATAAATAGAAGAAAATCATGAAAATGAATAGCATTCAAATAAAATAATGCTCTTAAAATTTAGCTAGAAAGCTATGTGTGGCATATGCCTTTGATCCCAACACCCAGGAGGCAGAAGCAGGCACGTCTCTGAGTTTGAGACCAGTCCAGTCTACATAGTGAGTTTCAGGCCAGCCAAGGGTTACATAGTAAGACCTTATGTCAACAAAACAAAATAAATAAAATTTAACTAGAAACATTCTCTTTGTCAAAAAAGATTGTTTGTACACCACCCACGTGCACTGGGGGTATTAACAGCAGTCAGGAGGTAGCAGAAGCCCCTGCCCATCAGCAGGTGAATGGATAGAAAAAATGTGGTGCCTATATGCAATGGAATATTATTAAACATTTGAAGTGGACACTTTTCCCTTTTCCTCTTGAGACAGGGTTATATAGCCCAGGCTGGCTTAGAATCTTTGATCCTACTGCCTTATTCTCCTTACCAGGTCTCATGTAGTCCTGGTTGGCTTCATACTTGATACATAGCTAATGATGACTTTGAACCCCTGGTCCTTCTGCCTTGGCCTCGCAGTTGCTGGGATTACAGGCACATGACATCAAATCCATCTGGAAGGACATTCTGACCTATGGATAACATGACTGAATCTTGATGATGTGCATTGTGGGATTAGCCAGTCAGAGAAGGACACACACTGTGTGATTCTGGTCATGTGATCCTTACAGTTGGTGCAGAGTGGTTGCCAGGCCTTTGGGTCTGGTGAATGGGGTGTTGTGTTTGGGAAAATCAAAAGGCTTGGAGACAGACGATGGTGATGGTTGCACAACAGTGTGTGTACTTCATGTTGCAGAACTCAATACCTACAAACGAATAACACAGCAAATTTTGTGACATATACATATGTTACCACAGTTAAAAATTTAAAATACAGCCGGGCGGTGGTGGCGCACGCCTTTAATCCCAGCACTCGGGAGGCAGAGCCAGGCGGATCTCTGTGAGTTCGAGGCCAGCCTGGGCTACCAAGTGAGTTCCAGGAAAGGCGCAAAGCTATACAGAGAAACCCTGTCTCGAAAAACCAAAAAAAAAAAAAATTTAAAATACAAGTGCTCACTATGTGGCTGAGGCTGGCCTTGAACTGAAGGGCCTCCTGGGCAGCCCTCCTGAATGCTGGGGTTACAGGAATGTGCCCACCACCATGCTCAGCTCAGGTATCTTGCCTTTTGTGTTTAAGAAAAGAGTGAAGAATGGAGCGGGGGGGAGACAAAAGTCTGGGGTAGAAAATCTAAAACCTGCCCGGCACAGAGGTAGTCCCAGCTGCTCCAGAAGCATGGCTGGAGCCCAGCACTCCTGGGCTGTGGTGTGCTATGCTGGTTGGAGGTCCCCACCAAGCGCTGCATCAATATGGCTGCTGCCAGGTTGCTTTAGGAAAGGGAACTGACCCAGATCAGCCATGCAGCAGGTCCGAACTTCTGTGCTCATCAGAAAGAAGCTAAAGACATTTTGTCCCTACTTAGAGGCTGTGGATTGCCATCAAGAGTGGGGGAGATTTGGAGCGTAAATGACTCACTCACGGTATTCCTCACCTCATCTAATGTTCAGTCAGTTCTCAGTCCTTCCCCGATCCTCCAGCTGGGGAGACCCTTGTCAAGGGATGGCAATGACCCCATCCCCACCTGAGGAAGGCACCGATTTGTCTCTTCATGCTGTAGACTCCATAACGTTTTTTAGGGAGCAGGAGTGAGGTTGGGAGACTACATAAGTCCACGTGTGTCACAGTTGGCACAGAGCAGACATGGGCATGAATGTGGCTGGCATGTACAGAGCTGGGCCGGAGCAGGAACTGGCTGGTGGGTAGTTCATGAAGGCAACAGGGAGCCATTTCTGGCGTCTGAACATGGGAGTGTCTGAAGGTGAGTTCTAAGGTGTTATACGCAGGGGTAACTAGCATCCCAAGCTGAGGGAAGGACAGAGAGGTAGGAAGCAGAGGGGCTGTGGGGGCTTGGGGACCAGAGCTCTACCCAGGCCTTCAGTACAGCTACTCACTGGGGAGCAGGAAGAAGTTGGCAGTTCAGTCCTGGAGGCAGCCAGGAGACCCTTGATGTGAAAGGCCAGGAGGTGAATGCCTGGTTATAATGGTCAAAGAAAACTAAATAAAGCATGGGAGCAGGGGAGCTAGGGGTGTGGTTCAGTGTGCAGACACTTGCCATTCGTGCACAAGGCCCTGGGGTTGAGGCCAAGTACCACAAGAGACAATAACAAGGAAAAACAACAACATCCAAAAAGGGCAAATGCTTATCTAAGTCACCCAGTGGGAGTGTGGCCAAGGAGTTGAGACACAGTTGTAGCTCTGATAGCATCTGGGGTGGTGCCCCTTTCCCTCTGAGCCCCTGGCATACACTGTGAGCTGGGCTGAGCCCACACTTGAAGGGGCTGGTTTGAACGGCAGAGGGGAGGGACACTGTGCTGGGACCTCCCTGCTTTCTCCCTTGGGCTGTGTCTCTATTTCCACCCCCAGGGCCCCCAGGAGTAGAAGGACATGTTGTTGGGTCATGGTTGAACCCAGGGAGTTTGGATAGGCTGGGCAAGGGACAACATCTGTGCTCCCCATCCCCAAATCACTTCCTCATTCTCTCTGGGGCTCGGTAGAGAGCTCGGCTGGTGTCATAGGGTGGGCTTGTGGAGTCCTGGCTAACGGGCAGGCTGGTCAGCTTTGCCTCCTCTGCTGCTCTGGCCATACCTTCTGAGCTCTGTCCTGGGCCATCCGGAGCTGGATCCTTAGCCTCGCTAGGCTATCATCTGAGCATCTGTGACACTTGCTGGTCTTACTGTGGATATGTCCCCACCCAAAGATATTTCTACCAGCACCTCCATCTTACAGAGGGAACACTGAAGCTCGGTCAGTTTAAAGACATTACTCCAACTCTCCTAGCCCATGGGGTACTTGAAACTTGAACCAGGCAACATTTCCCAGCCTCCCTTGGGTCTCTGGAAAAATCCTATGAACTGTCAAGTCAGTTAAAGGCCATTTCCCCCTTTCTGTAAGTGGGGAAACTGAGGCTTGGGGAAGAGCCATAGTTTGCCCAAGGGTACAGAACTGCCAGTATCT